CGAATCATCCATTCAACCAACCTTCAATCCAAACACGGGATGACGAGCGGGACTAATAATCCAATATTTTCGGCTTCCGGCCCGATTGTTTCGAGCTCTTGAAAAACTTGTGAAAAACCGTCTTCGAACTGCGGACAAATCAATTTGGCGGAAAATATGTTCGACAGGTGGGGAATGAGAAAGGATTACGCACTTGGACATAGCTTTGGAGACAGAGGTGCAGACCATTTCGGGAAATGGTGGCCTCAAATCCTTGATCCCGATGATTCATCGGCTTGTGATATGAAGTGTAGTTCTCGATTGTTATATTTTAATAATGCAAAGTGAAACAAACGTATGTGCGTTTTTTAAAAATTATCGATAATTAACAATCTTTATATCAATCATTCCATTTTCTACTATAACTTGTTCGGCTTTGAATTATTATGAGTTAATCATTTATTCAGTCTAGAAATGCTTAGCTCCAAAAATGTTTTAATGTTTAACATGTATTCTTGACGTGTTTGTCGTCACCTGGCGTTTTCAACCTTTTATGGTCTTTCTATGGGATTAATAAATTATTAAAGTTAAACTTGAATATTATAAAATTTACAAGGTTTTACCAACAGTATGAAAAAAATGTAAAATCATTTCGAGGGGTCCGCAAGGATACTAGAGATAATAAATACGAGACACATGTCGCAATAAAAAGCGAGACTAGACGGACCTGAGATTATTCATACACGTCTTACTTATAGCATCAGAAGGAAATCTTAATAACTGTTTATCAATTAGTTGTGCTGCGTAAGCATCTTGAACATTCTTAGACATAACAAAATACATATATAAATTTATCAGCAAAGAGTTTTTAGGAAGAATCTATGAAGAAACTACTAAACACTAATAAAATACTAAAAATTGCACTAGAATGTAGTCAAGTGTTGTTCTTAACATCACTATGAAAAATTATAAAAATCGTGTTGAGGGATCCCCTTGAAGCCCAGAGATTACAGAAAATGATGAGAGATTTATAATCATAAAAAAATTTTAAACAAAATTATACCCAATCTTTTGAAATAAATTATTTTTTCATAATATTTTACTTTATTATTATTTATATTATTATTATAAGGTAGCTCATGACATCTCTGTACATAAGTCTTATTAAACACGAGTGTATAACTAACAAAAGAATAGCCAACTAATTGGAAAGACGAAAAAAACTCAACGGTAGTAAATTTCATAGCAGTTTGAGCATGAAGGCCCTGCCAGACATTGGGGATAGCAACAAAATTACCCTTGTTTACCTACCAGAAAACCTACCAAATTTCAAAAGACGTACAGCCTACGTCCTTGGTACAATGTGATGACGTGAAAAATTTCAACAAAGGACCATGGATAGAACTAACTCAGAACTACTAAACCTAGAACGTGTTTGAACTAGAATGGTAGTAGGACTGCTGACTGGACACTGAAGAAGTAGAGACTCATAGCAGCGGAAACAACGCTGTACGTTAAGACGAAGAAGAAGAAACAGCGAAACATGTCCTCTATTTATACGAAGACCTATCAGGCTGAGATTCCTTGTACTGGGAGATAAAAGCCAACACCTAAACATACAGAGAACCCCTTAACTTTCGGGTCGAGTATGCCTTTTAATGAAAGCTCTTGACAGTAATTAAGATTGAACAATAGACAAATATTGGCCGCAGTAGCAAATCGTGAAGGCACCACCTCCTTTTAACCTCAACGTTAACCTTTTATCCTTTTAAGGTGCCCCTACACTATCAACCGGCTTGATCAAATGCTTGAGTAAATCGATTGTATCAAGCGTGATTGATAGTGTAGAAACCTGATTGACGCTTGAAGCAAGCATTGACGGTGATTGATAGGAAGTTTGAATGACTCAAGCAGATGATCAAGCGGCTTGATAGTGTAGGGCAATTTTCATGAAGCATTGCGTCAGTCACTCGGTGGAAGTCATGGCAACTTTGTATCCTTCTTCTCAATTTCGGGGCGTACTAACTTCAGTAGATAATCAAAACTTTCTTGGTCCATTCTCAAAAAGTTCCTGTAGTCCTCTGGTTCCGATTCACACAGAAAGTTTAGTAGATGTTCATGAATGAAGCGGTTTCTCAGTTTGTACCACTCCTTAGCCCACCGTCGTTTTTTCTTTTGCTGTTTTTTCTGCTTCAGGGCAGCCAATGTTAAGACTAGGAAGCCCAAATCTGTATTTGAAACCATTCAGCACCGAAACAAAACAAAAAATCAAACAGCGAAATGCACTGCTCCACTTCAGGGCTTCCACTGATGAGGGTCGAGGGAGTTTTGACCGAAAGATTGAAGGGTTGATTGAAGCACGCTTGAAGCTCCCATCAATCGGAGGTTCAAGCATTTGATCAAGCCGCTTGATAGTGTAGGGGCATTAAGTTCAATATTAAAAAAATAGCTGAATTCCCAGTGTACGATTTTTTAGTAAAATAATTTACCTTACTAGAAACGCCTGGCTTGGATACCTTAAAAAACAATTAATTATACTTTTTATCCAAAGTCGTGGTAGAAAAGAAAAAGGTAGTGTCACGAGTGGAATTCGAACCCATGACTTTCGGCTCAATACGCTGCTGATCTAATCACTTAAGCTATCTTGACTACGATCCTTTCGGACACCAACTGCTTATCTCAACCAATTTGTTTACGATCATTTGGGTCTTCCTATCTTTCTGTTTGGGATCCCAGAAGCGCTTATTTAATCTTCAGTCACCAAAACAGTGATGATAGGTTGACCAAACTACAATTAATTATCGTATGTCGGGCATTGTAATGCTCGTTACTGATTATTTCGGTTTTCTATCCCTGACGTTTTGGTTTTTCAGAGGACTTTCGCTTTTTCTTCTTCCTCACTCATCAGATTACCAGACACCAATACAGTGAGTGTAGGATGACCAAATTACAATTAAATATCTTTAGGGCCTGTGGGATTATGGACATGTCGATTGATAGTTTACGATCATTTTGGTCTTCTTATCCTCGCTGTTTCGCCTTCTCACCTTCTGCAATTTTAGATCACCAAGACAGGGAGGATAAACTGACCAAGCTATAATTAATTATCCGTAGGTTATGGGCTTGTGGCTTGGTCGTTTTCTAACATTATCGTCCAATCCTGGCGGTTTTGATCTGAATTTGGTGCGTTTTTGTGACGATGATATAAGCTTTCAACAGTTCTGTACTTAACTGAGACTTTAATTTAAGGACGACTGCGAGCACTGCGCATAATGAACTAGCTGGTTTGTTAAGAAGTGTTGGCCGTTGAATACTGGAAGGACTAACGCACCATTAACCTCACAGACCAACCATTGAAGATGATAAAATATCTGGCCAAATCAGCAAGCAAGCGTTTAGTTTTCAAAAAAAAGCCGCGTTTAATTAGGGTTTAAAAATTGAAACCGCACAACACGCGTCGGTCGTAAATTCCGCCTAGCCCTCACTCTGCCTGTACACTCCCCTGTTTCTTTCACGATAACTTCGGTGATTTCAAGTCCGTACTGGCTTAATAAAGCTTAAAACGAACAGAGTGCGACAGCCGACTTTTTACGACCCGGCGGTAAAGCGTTTTACTGCTCTTGAAAAGACAGGATGGAAATAGATCGGCGATGTCGAAATTTCGCCCTTCGGGTTTTTTTGCTCAAAGTAAAGGGTCATAGGAAAGGAAGCAATCGTGGATGACGGTTTAAAACATCCGCTGTTCAATTTCCCCCAAGGAATTCATTATTATTGCGGATTCCTTTCTCTTACTCCCAATTTGAGAAAATATCTCTTTAAAATTTCCAGTTGCCTCTTATCATCATAGGGGTCTCAAATCAAGTAGTATTGATCAAATACTCGCGTTTTAATGTATTAATATTAATATCCTTCTCATAACAGAGGCAGAAGCAATTACGTTGGGCGAAACATTATGCCAAGTACAATTAAGCTCTCAGTCCTACGCGATCTTCGGTGAATTAATATAATTACTTGAAATTTTCATTAAACCACTAAAAGCTAAATAAATTTACGCCCGTTTCTGACCGCAAAATACTCCAAATGTTCGAGTCGGTAATATCGGGTGTAAAAGAATCCTGAGAGATCTCTGTATATGGCAGTTTAACGATTTGCGAGATTGGAAAAGGAGGAAATTCCACTTTAATTGGACAACTCTTCAACGACGATTAGACATCACGATCGAGGATATATCAAACGGCCATCGAACATTAAATTACTCAACTATAAATGAAATCTGTAATCTACTGTTTGAATTTTATATATTTATGTATATCATCACTAAACAAATATACAAACAATATATAATATCTTCTTGATTTGAAGTCTGTGGGATTCAAGAATTGACCTCAAGGATAAAACGCCCCCTTTTAATGTCCCATCTTCAAAAAGGGGAGGCTTTCTCTCGATAAACAAAGAACCCGATAAAATCACCCTTTTATTGCTTCATCCTTAGCCTTTTACAAACTCTATACCACCTTTATTGAAAGAAAAAAATATAGATTCAAAGACAAAAAAAACGGCCACTCGTATTTTGATGTTTTTCAAAGCATACTGTTTATCTTTATATTAAATACGAAATACTTATTCCAATGTAAACCAAATTAAACGAAATCACAAATTTATGAGTTTTGACGAAAAATATGTAATTATGATGGTTGGAAAGGAAATTGACCATAACAACGGAAAATCATTCAATACTAGATTAAAATTTAGCTAACAATTTATTCTATGATTTTCCAGTGTTTTGGTGAATTTTATTTCAAAACACCATAATTATATAATTTCAAGAAACACTCATGAATATCTGATCTCATTTGATTTACATGAAATAATTATTCTGTAGTGTACAACGATAAAAATACGTGTGTATAGATTGAAATAAACAACAAAATATGAGTGACCGTTTTTATTTTTATTTATATTAAAAATAATTTTTTAATTAAAATAAAGTTTTATCAAATTTTATTTCCTTTATGTTTCAGGCACGATCACAGTCAGTTTGGAACTTAAAGTGAGTTTGATTTTTTATTTAACAGTTACACATGTATAAAATACGTAAAATAAACAATTTAAATATTATACAGATTGTGCACCCCCAATCGCCCAATGCGTTTAGTCGATTACAGATATTAATTAGATTTTTAAAATATGAGACAATGTAGTATCGCATATAAAATGATAAACTGAACGAAAATAACTAACATTTTCAAACGTTGATAAACTTTATCGTTACTGCTTCTGAAAATGAAAAAATGTTCACTCCGAATATCTGATAGCAATTTCGCATCTATGATTCATTCACTTTCAATAAATCCTGGAAAAGAGTACTATGATAGAATTATCAGATAAGCTCGATTTCGATTGCAAATAAATGCAGCCTCTCTACTTTACCAGTTGAAAAATATTTTTTGAAGTTTTGTGGTTGTTTATATATGGATTCCACTTTACCATCAGCTAGAAACTATATAAAACGCACAAGAACTATTTGCTTAAAATGATGAAGCTTGAATTTTAAAATCAGCTAATACAAAAATCCAATTACATAAAATATACGCTAGGGCCAATTGGCAGTAATTAACTACAAAATTGTTTCATTTTTTTATATTGTGTGTAGTTTTATGAACGGCAAAGTACACTGCCCGTCAAAAATAACCGACCACCTGGTTTTTGCAGGAAAAATGATCAAATTCGGAAATGCATATTTCTCACCCTTTTAAGCAACAGATCTGGGAGGGGCGTCAATTTTTAGAATATTTCACACTTAACAAGATGACTTATTTAAATGTTTTCCTAGCTTCAGTCATTCATCAGTAAATTCAAAAATTCTTGATCATGGTAATTTATGCACTTTTTACGAAAAGTTCAAATTGAGCTGCGGAGCCAGGAAATCGTCTTGGAGCGTCGCCCAATAGCAGTAGATAGGAAATTTTAATTGGTCACTTTCCACATTACTCGATTTCTCATCCATTTTTGAGTTATTACCGATTTTTTGGAAAAACACGTGGTTTTTTTATGTGCTCATGGAACCTATCACTCTCTCTCCCCCGATTTTACCATAGATAAACCTATTGTTTCAATACGTTATTCGAAGGCAAATTGTCACAACACTTGTGAAATGGGAAGGAAAAGTTGAATTTCCTTGATGAGGCAAACAAGTAGTTATCGACAGCAGAAGCATTCCGCATTCCAAAAGGTCAAAGTAAGAAAAAGTAAGAATTGTCGCTTCCCTGTTCATTCAATGATTTTAAAAAGTCTTGGGAGCAAAAGTTGTAGAGCGTAAAATTTGCGAAAAAATGGCGGTTTAAAATTTACGCATTCTTAAAAATTGGGGGAGAGAGAGTGATCGGTTCTTTTCCATGAGCATATAAAAAACCACGTTTTTGTCCAAAAATCGCGAATAACTCGAAAACGGTTGAGAAATCTGGTAAAATTGAAGGTGTCAGATTGAAAGCGTATTAAATTTTCCTATTCGTTCCTATAGGGCGCCACTCCAGGCCTATTTCCTGGCTCCATAGGTGAATTTGAAGTTTTTGTAAAAAGTGCAAAAATTAACCTGTTCCCGAATGTTTGAATTTTCTTATGAAAGACTGAAGGTAGGAAAACATTTAAAAAAACCATATTGTTCATCTGACAAAATACGCATTTCCAAAGTTGGTCATTTTTCCTGTAAAAACCAGGTGGTCGGGTGTTTTTGGTTGTTGGGCAGTGTCTGTTGGTAGCCAGGGTTCTCATTTTTTGCTGTCCTTCTCCTTTCCTTCTCGGATCTTTTTTTTTTACTAATTCATTTTCCTCATGGGGCAGCCACTTAATATTTACGCCTATAAAGCAATGGAAAATAAAGTAAAGGGCGCGTTTTCATTCACGCTAATACATAACATTCACACTGTCCCAGGGTACTCGATATACCCGGAGTTTTTCCTTCCACACATCGAAAATCTCATGCACGGACATATAACACACATCCCATTCATTCGTACCCGTGTATGTGATATTACTTGATTACTTATTTTCTTGTCAAATTATTTTTACCTACATTTTATAGTCTTTAAACCATTTTGCGCCTGATATTCGTATAATTACCTCAAACTGGCATAACGTAAAGGCATAGTATTTGGAGGTTAATTTAACGTTTGCTTTTATGTTTTGCCTGTCACCATAAAACCGGCTTACTAAATTGGATCTTAACAGCTTTTTTATTTTTTTATTTTATTGATGGCTCTATGTTATTTTTGTCGAAGCCCACTTACCTAGTCCAACATCACATAATTTAATATTCTTTGTAGTAGTGTTCAAAAAATAATTAATTTTATAAACATAGTGCTCATTGTGTTTTTAATAAACTAATTTAAAAAATTAATGAGTTATTATATTCCTTGTACTCCTTTTCAAACTTTTGTAATGTTCACTTTTGTCTTTTCTGTATGATTGGCATAAGTTCGTATGATTATTATAATTATTTTTTCATAAAGCCGGCCATTTTTTATCGCATACCAAAATTCTGCTTTCGAGATGGTTGGCGTGTTTGTAGACACTGGAGGTTCCGAATGCATATGTACAGATTCATAGAAGCACAAATAACGCTGTGTAGATATTACCACGAAGAAGAAGAAACAGCGAACATGTCCTCTGTTTACATGAAGGACATGTTACACAGAGAACCCCTTGACTTTTCCATCAGGTAAAACGCCGTAAACCTGTCGAAACCTCTAGACTTTAAGTTTGCAAATAGACATATTGGTCGCGGTAGCAATATCGTGAAAGGACCGCATCCTTTTAACCTCAACCTTAACCATTTATCCTATATTCAATGTTTAAAGAAAACGTTGTATTCCCAGTTTACATTTTTTTAGTATAATAATTACTTACTAGAAACGCCTGGCTTGGATATCTTAAAAAACAATTAATTATACTTTTTATCTCAAGTATTGGTTGAGATGAAGTAGTTAGTGTCACGGGCAGGATTCGAACCCACTACCTTCGGCTCAATACGCCGCTGCTCTGACCACTTGAGCTATCGTGACTTCGATCCACACCTTTCTCATCACAACCAATTTATTTACCTTGTTTACGATCGTTTGGGTCTTCCTAACCTATCTGTTTTGGGCCTCAGAAGCGCTTATTTATTCTTTAGTCACAAAAACAGCGGACCAAACTACAATTAATTATTCTACTTGTCGGGCGCAATGGACCTGTAATGGTCGTTGATAATTTTGATCTTCTATCCATGCTGTTTTGGCTTTTCGTAGGGCTCTCTGTTCTTATATTCTTTGTACTTCTCTTCAAACTTTTATAAAGTTCATTTTTGTCTTTTTCTCTATGATTGTCGTAAGTTTGTACGATTGTAATTACTTTTTCATAAAGCCGGCCATTTTTTATCGCATAGCAAACTGCATTTCGATAAGTCTAGCGTGTTCGTAGAATAAAGTATCAATTATCCAATGGCTTGTCAAATTGAAATTGCATGAAGATCTAGATTAGAATGAAGCAATATAGATTAAATTAAGCTATAGATAAACTAGCTAATTAGTGTCCTAAACAAACAAGACCTTTAAAAAAATGGTTGTAATTTCCCCGCATCATGCGAATGAACCCTGGCGTTACGGAAGGCAGTATCGTAGGACCATTTCACAATGAACACTGTTGATATACCCCCACGTTCTAACAATAAATCACAAACTATGCCGAAGAGACTTCCCAATCACAGAATCAGAAACTATCCAAGAAGGGCTAAATTTATTTACAGTGTGGTGACGGATCAGACGTCATACCAGCTCACTAGGCACATCAAGGTCATCCCTCTATCCAAACAAGCCGTTAATTTGGACTTTACTCGGACATCAGACTTAGGAACCCACTAACCAGACAAAAAAGCCTCCTTGGTCTTCGAATTCGAGTGTGAGGCTTGGCCAAATTCTTCAACATTTAAGGTATCCAGTCCTTTCAATCCAAAGCCCGCCGAATCCTCAACGCTCCTACGTCATCAATCTAACGAAACACAAAACTTGGACTCCCATTCGTGGAGGATCTAATCGGAACAGATTTCGACCAGGTTTATTCGGAGCTATTCCTCCACTCTAATCGATTTCCTCAACATCACACCCTTATAAATTATAATCCTCCACAGATGGCCTCCTGACCTTCTATCCTGACTATATCCTACTCCTAATAAAAATAACGGAGAGTTCCAATAGTGCCAGTAGGTTTTGCATGTATGTACATGTAATAATTGCGAAAAAAAAACTCGCACTTGGGTAATGCTATAAATAATTGTAATGACACATAATATTTTGTGATATTAGAGTGAAATTAGTCTTCTAGAGTCCACAGGTAGAGTTTATTTCTTACGGCATCGTGTTTCTCAAAGTTTGACCTAACGTGCGACCAGGGTTATGGATCTCAAGGAATCCCTACGCCTAGGAATGCCAGGAAACAGCGATCTCCAAATGAGGCGCAACCAGAAGAAAACAAGCATTAAAAAAACTGCTAGCAATCTCCGAGTACTTAAAACAAGCGGAAATGAAACGGCTAAAATTCACATTAGAGTCCTAAAACACGCCCAATGGAGTGTGATTTAAAATAATAACCCGATCAGGTAAATTGCATAATTTTTCAGACGGCATATGCCCCCGGCTCCGGTGTAGTTAGGTAATTATCAAACCCCACAGGGATAATCGACTCGGCGATCAAGCGGGATGTTTATAATCTCGGTTAATTTTTATAGAAGCGTGGGTAGCAGATGTTCAATTGCTACAAAAGTTCCTTCATATTTTACAACTTATAAAGCTGTACTACGCGACTTATCATTGTCTTAAAAACTACGCTAAAATCAGAGTTAAAGGAATTTAACCGCGGTAATTAACTCTCACAATATGATTTGTCATGATATAATACCCGTTTCCTCATCCCTTTATCTCTTCAATTTCAACAGAATTTAAATTTTTTATGCGTGATCTTTTGACAGACGGTTGAACAATTTTCAGGAATAAACCTTTCCTTTTCCTAAAACTATTA